ACACACATTTGCGATTGTTTGTCATTCATCAGCAGATCGATAATCCTATGGACTGGTAATGTTGACAAGTATCATCACGTCTGGGCTCATTGCAAACTTTTGCCTCAGGGTCACATCGAACTTCCTTACCAAATTTAAAATAAAAATAACATTAAAAACTATTTAAAAATAAAATAAAATTAATTTTAATTTATTTTTGGCCTGGCTGGGCAAGTGGTCCCGGGCCACTCTGGTAGTAGCCTAATTTGATACACCATTGACACACCCATGCTTCCTGCTTCCTGCTTCCTGCTTCCTATTCCACTGCCAACTTGCGCCAAGTCATAGAAAGATACACCATTGACACACCCATGCTTCCTGCTTCCTGCTTCCTGCTTCCTATTCCACTGACAACTTGCGGCAAGTCATAGAAAGATACACCATTGACACACCCCTGCTTCCTGCTTCCTGCTTCCTGCTTCCTATTCCACTGGCAACTTGCGGCATGTTCAGGGTTGCTTGACTTCCTTCACTTGGCGTGAAGTGAAGGAAGTTCAAGAAACCCTGAACAGCATTTTGATTGCTCCTGGAGGATCGTGAAACGGTTTTCACCTTTTAGCAGTAGCGAATGCAGATCCCAGGGCTCGATCCCTAGTTCTCACCTTACCTGTGTACAGTATCTGTGTCGACCCCGAGTATTTGAACCCGTGACCTGTGTTTTGACAGTTGTTGTTGTCTGTCGTAAGTCTGTGTAGTGGTAGGGGTTCGATCTGTAGATCTGTCAAGTAGGAGTTCCAGCTCTGTAGAGGTCGTAGCTATAGGTATTCTGAAAGGTCAAAGTCGTAGCTGCTACAGTCCCGAAAGGTCAAGGTTGTAGCTGCTACAGTACCTGAAAGGCCAAGTCCACAGACTTCCGGAAGGTCCCGGAAGTGGCCTTTCGGAGTGGGATCACGTTTAGACAGAGGCAAGTGGGCAAGTGGTGGAGCCAACCTCAGTACGTTGGCAGTGCGACTGCAGTGAGTCTGCGGGGCAAACCCATGCGGTCAGTGGTACCGGTCCAGTCAGTCCCAGTCCAGTCCAGCAAGTACCATGAGGGACTGTGTGCACCATGGGCSGATGGAAAAGGGCAGACCAGCGAGTTACAGAAGTATAAATCAAGAGGCAGCGCCCAGCCGTTCATTCATTCCTGCGTAAGCCATGCGGAAGCGCTGCCATAGCGACTTGTGTGAGGTGGTCTGCAGTGAGCCCGAGGACGAAGTGGGCGAGAAGGAAGCTAGCCATAGCGATAGGGTAGCAGCGGCCATAGCCGCCATAGCTGATAGGAGGGAGAGTAGCGTGTGTGAGTGTGCGATTGTACAGTGTGTTGCGTGTGGGATATCCAGGGTGATCGATCCTGTGTGCGAACAGCAGTGTTGAGTAAGTGACGAACAGAGAGTTGTACAGGCGATGGGCCCCGCCATAGCCATTTGAAGTGAACTTGTATCTGAGTTGCGTTCTTGGTTACTGTATCTCTGAGTTCTGAGTGGGCGCTTGACGCCAGTTTGCTGCGCATCCTGTTTGCATGCATGTGAAGTGTGAATGAAACCGAGTCTGATTGCAATCGTCTGAACAAACTAAAAATATGATGAATTTGAGAAAAACAATCTGGAAAAGATATTCAGCATCCCAATGGGAACAAAATTTGGCTGAGAGCCATCCCGAAATTCATTGCCAACTTTGCGTGCAAAAATGAAAACGAGAATACTTTTTTCTTTTGGGGGCCAGGGGAGAAAAGCAGGGGAAGGGGCGGGCGGCGGGGCACCATTTGCCTCGACAAATCTGGACGTCCGACGTCCCGATTTCTTCAGTTTATCTCATGTTCGCTAGGTGTATAGATTTGCTCGGACAGTCAGTCTGGCGAAGCCATGAGAATACTTTTTTCTTTTGGGGGCCAGGGGAGAAAAGCAGGGG